GGTTAGATATAAGATAAGAAATAGATATAAGTGCATAAAAAATGGAAAAGAAAAGTTTCCAAAACTGGAGTTCGAAAAAATGAATAAAAGATATTTTGACGCAGGATCTTGACTCTGTTCCTACTTCATTCCTTAAGAGGGTTTTAATTGTGTTCAAGATGTCTTAACTATTGTAAACTGTTCTCTGTCAACAGGTGCTTTTCCAAATGCTTTTAAAACTGCCCTGGTGAAGCCCCTACCAAAAAAGAATAGCATGCATCCTACTGTGCTACATCTTAGTGCGGCTTTTGATTCTGTTGATCACAAGATTCTAATACACCAATTGAATGCTGGGTTGGCCTCTCAGGTACAGGTTTAGGATAGTTTAAATCATAGTTAATGCTTAGACAGGTTTTACCGGGAAATCATTGATCAAAGGTATTTAATGTTTTTTGTGGAGTCCCACAGGGTTCAGTTTTAGGGTCCTTGCTCTTCTCTTTGTACGTGTTACCTATTGACGAAGTCATTAGGAAACATTTTATAAATTTTCATAGCTGTACTGATGACACGCAATTATACATTTCCATTCCCTCTGATAATCAAGACCCTTAAGATCTCAAGATCTTATCAGCTCTGTTTCAGTATTTCTCAGTGGATGCCACAAAATGTCTTATAACCTAATAATGAAAAAACTGAAATACTGATACTTGGTACTAAAACTAAGAGAAAAAATGATTTATGAGAAGCTTGGGTCTTAAGCTTTGTATACCAAACCTGAAGTGCGAAACCTGAGTGTAATCTTAGATTCTGAGCTCTGTTTTAACCTGCTTGTAAGCAAAGTCATTAAAATAGCCTTTTAATATTTGAGAAATATTGCTGAAGTTCAGCCTTTTCTGTCAGAGCAATGCAGAGAAACTTGTTCATGCATTTGTTACAAGAGGATTAATTAGCCTAGTTAATTACTGTGCTTCCTAAGAAAACAATACTTCCTCTATAATTTGTACAAAATGCAGCCACATGGATCCTAACAAAAACAAAAAAGAGAGATCATATCAACCATGTTTTGAGTGAACTGCACTGGCTACCTGTGTTTTTCAGGATAGATTTTAAAATTCTGTTATTAGTTTTTAAGGCTCTAAATGATCTAGCATCTTCCACCTTTTATTACACAGTCAAGCTCAGTTCACACATTTAAGAAACATTTGAAAACATATCTCTTTAACTTCGCGCTCAGTTAAAATTCTACATTTCTTTGGTATTTCTTTTTAACTTGATCTGTCATTGTCTTGTCTATTACTGTAAAACATTATCTCCTGTCTGTAAAGCACTTTGAGCTACCACCTGAAAGAAAAGTGCTCTTAAAGATTATTATTATTATTATTATTATTATTATAACTTGAAAAAGTGTCACTGCAAAAGACCTGGTAGACCACTAAAACTGTCACTATTAGATAAACATTATTTAAAGCTGTCATCTTTGAGAGAGAAGAAAAAATCAAGCTTCACTCTTGTTTCATATTGGAAAAAATCTACAAATCTTTGTCCAGCATTCCATTGTGAGAAGACAACTCAATATGGGTCTGAAAGGATGTGTAGCTGTCAAGAAGCACTTACTGAGTTAAGGACATAGACAAAAAAATGAAAACATGGAAACATGGTTAGAAACAAAAAAGGCAACCAACTTTTAAGACTGAACTGTGGAGGTGTGGAAAAATATCCCTGTAGATTTCTTTGAAAAACTGCAAGTCTCATAAAAGGAATGGAAGCTCTAATAAAGGCAAACAGTGAACACACAAAATATTATAAAAATATTATGTTTCATTGTTTATGTTTTTGTGTCATTTTCTGTTAAATATGTTTTCTTCTTTTTAATGACACTAAAAAATGAATAACTTCTACTTCACTCAGAGTGGCTTGATGTAAAATGCTCTTTGCTGAAAAACAACTCAGTTGGAATTGTTCACAGTGGTGGTGAAAACAACCAGATGGTTAATGCCTCTAAAGCTTCCACACAGAAAACCATTACATGAAATGGTGATGAATGCACTGCCTGATGCCTGAGACATTGTTTTCTGATAGTTTTGAGAGAAGACTTTGGCCTAAAACATATTTTTAAAAATCAATTCATGACAGAAAGGTACCTGTGCACTGGTGTAAGACAACTTATTTATTTATTTATTTTTGACAGGGACAATACAGATAAACATTGTTACATAGAATGCAACACATGTAATGTAAATAGGGTCCCTGGTTAGTCCTTCAAAATAAAAATAATAATATAAATAATAATAAAGAAAAAAGTTAATTGCACAACATAGGGAATAAATACATAAAATACAGAAAACATGCATACCTAATTATATGCTTAAATTTGTGATGAATGCATCTTTATGTCTGTATATCAACTAAAACTTGCAAAATGTTCACAGGTTTGTTTCTCTTTAAGCCAATGTTAAGCCAGTGTTTCACTTCTACATTAAAAACTTCACTTTGTGTTTTGATTTCTAATGGTAAAACATTCCATATCTGTAAGCCTTTAACTAAAAGATGACTAACCAAAAGTTGTTCTGCGCACTGTCATTCTACAGTTGCCACTTATTGCTCTCCTGGTTGTCACTCCAATGTTTTCCTGCTTAATAATAAACTGGCAGAGTAGTTCTGGGGCAAAATTATTTATGCACTTAAAAATAAGCTTTAAGAAAGAAAAATGTATAAAACTATCAAAGTGATGCCATCTCATTGATTTCTGACCCATTATTTTCAAAGCCTGCTTGTATAACGACAATACAGGTTTAATTGCTGATTGAGAGACTTGACCCTAGACAGTTGCACAGTATGACATATGCTATGAAATCATGGCATGCACATACATCTGTGCAGCCTTGAGTGGAATGCAAGGTCTTAGCACCCAAAGAAAAAGTATGTTTTTCAGATTTTCCTCTATTTTACTGTTAACCACATTACATTGTATTTGTTTCATGTATTTGTTTCTTGTGCCAGTAATTGTAATCTGTAAGCATCTTTGGGTCGTAGAAAAGCGTTATACAAATGTCATGTATTATTACTATTATTATTATTATTATTGCATATAAAACTCAGAATACGTGTTCACTGGTAGTTTTGAGAAGTAAATAAAATGGTTATATTTGTGTTGTAGACTTTGTAACCCCTGGTTCCTATCACCACCACTGTAAAAAAAAATCAGAGTTGATAAGTTTCTGTACAAACCATTCTGAATAACTTTTGTTTACTTCCTACTTTCCTGGTGACCAGCCATGCTGGCCTAAGCTGTATTCTTCTATTGGGGCAGCCTAATAGCAACGTTGTTTAAACTACGAATCGTAGATTCAAGTGAATTTTCAGACATGAGCAGTACATTTGACGCCAAAAGAGATTACCACAGATCCACTTGTGTCTGCTGTGTGTACCGTCAAGCTACGAAAAATCCTTTTAACCTTTTATAATTCTGCTGAGGTGGCCTATCAAACTGGAATAAAACGAGCTGAAAAACGCGCTCGTACTCCGGCAGCAGATAAATCCTGAAGTCTTCAAGGTTGTTTTACCATAAAAGAAAATGAATAGCTCCGAATAATCGCCTCCCTGGGGTTCAGCGTTGCGGTGCTGAAAGACCCTGCAAGTGGTGAAAGACCCTGCAGGCCTTTGTCGTGCAGGGGGGCAGACCGAGCTGCAGTTTCACTGAACCGCCGCTAGTCGCCGCCCTTCTCATGTCACACTTTCCAAAGCAGCTGCAGATCTCAGCAAAATGGGTCAGTGTGTCTCAGTGCAGTCGAACAGTGGCAGCCTTTGCACAGATTTGATACATTTTGTTTGATTAATCCTGTTGTCACCTAAATACCATATTAAGCCCATTGCCTACTAAAAGACGTTGCTGCAGATTTGAGAGAAAAAGCTAAATAAAGTGGGCATCTTTTATTGCCTAATAAAATTTCAGTTTTAAAAGTATGTAAACAATGCGAGTGGAGTCACACTGTATATAATGTACCATTAATTTATCTCCAGTGTAAATTAAGGTAGTATTCGTCAAGTTGCATGTGCCATAGCCTGCTCTCCTTCTGAATGTCGTGGCCTAGATAGCGACCCTAATAAACATTTTAAGGGTGCTAAAAAAAATACCGTGTAATAAATAAATCCTGTCCGAGCGCATTCTTGGAGTTTAGACTGTGTGACAGCATGTAGGCTCATTCTCGAGTCCAGCTGTGTGGAGTTCTTGGAACATGAGACTAGAGAACACATTAAGGTTATGTGACTTTAGTCTACCTCACGGGGGCGCTCGTACACACCCAATGCCTGAACGGATTCTGTAGCACCCAACAGTGAACTGAAGCCTGCAGGCTTTCTGTAGCAGGTCGAAATGTAGGCCTGTCATTATCTATCTATCTATCTATCTATCTATCTATCTATCTATCTATCTATCTATCTATCTATCTACACTCTTAAAACTGATTCTTCAGGGGTTCTTCAGTAAACCATTAAAGGGAATAGTTATAAAACCGTGACAACATTTAATGTTTTAATAATTCTTTGCATGGTTAAATAGTTCTTCTCTGTGATGGATAACGTTTTGGTTGTATAGCACTAAAATGGGTTCTGTTATTGTTACTAATAAGTAATAAAAGCTTCTAAAATATCTATCTATCTATCTATCTATCTATCTATCTATCTATCTATCTATCTATCTATCTATCTATCTATCTATCCCATAAAACAGTTTCTTTAAGGGTTCTTCAGTAAAGGGGATATTTATAAAACCGTGATCATTGCAAAATGTTTATCCATTTGTAACAGTTTTGGCCATAAAGTGGTTCGAAACGCAGCTGACGTATAAGCCTATCTATCTATCTATCTATCTATCTATCTATCTATCTATCTATCTATCTATCTTCACAGATGAAGCACTATTCCTCGAGCGCTGAATGGTGATGTGTGAGTAAAGGCAGAGCTGCTGGTCGCTGTGCTGCGCGCGAGGCTGAGGCAGGGCGGGCGCGTCACTTCTGCACGCTCGTGCTGAAAAAAAGAGAAAGAAAAAAACGGCTCGTGGACACAATGGGCTCTCCAGCGGACGGAGCGAGCTCTGTTTAACGCGCCGCAGCCTTCGATGAACACAAGAAACGAGGTAATGCCCCGCAATGACGCTAGAACGAGATGTTGTTTTTGTGATGTGAGGTTGTCTTTTGCTTTCTGCGTTTGAATCAAAAAGCGAGAACAGTTATTTTGGAGAGGAGAAGATGCAGGAAGCGACGTAGGCTAACCGAGCAGCAGGCAGGAGGCAGCGGGCAGCAGGGCCTCGCTCTTCCGCAGGGTCCTACTGTCGAGCGGTGACAACCGATAGCTGACATTCATAGACCGAGATTATTAGAGCTGAGTGCCGTTGCTGGTAAAGCCGCTGTTCGCGTGTACAGCCTCCTGTTTCAGGCACAAAAGAATAACCGAATAGTCAGTAGTGCTGTGAGTCGGAGTGGTAGGCTAAAGCTTAGCTTCCCTAGACAAATAAGTGGCATCAGTCGCAGTCTGGGTTCATAACAAAGCCCACCACACCATGCCAGGCTGTACGAGGGTGCGTTTTATTACTGTTTTATGACAGAATCTCGTTCTAGGAAAGCTTGTAAGTTTGTTAAATAAAATGCTTTAAATGGGGCTGTACATTTCAATGGTGATGCTTTGCAGTGCACCAGCGGATTTTGATTTTATTTTTTAATTTTTACATATTTTTAACGAGTGACGTTAGCCTAAACATGCGAGTCCTATAAATTATTGTCAAATAAATAATGCTATTTAAATACTACTTTTAAAAATAACAATAATAATAATAATAGTATTATAAAATAACGAGATTATTATTTGGGATATGTAATAATGATACTAGTAATGATAATAAATATTAGTCTTTTAGCTGTATTATACTATTTGAAACTGAAAATTTGAATAATTTTATTACATTGTCATAGCATTTCCACATTGTAATTACATTGTAATTACAAACCTTATAAACCGATTTGAAAGAATATAACTCGCCTAGGTCTATGACCTCTAAGTTTCCCTCTGTGGCTAACTAGCCATAGGCTTCTTAAAACAGCTAGTAAATAAAATATAGATCTGTATGTTATCAGGGTAGTGAATAAAAAATGTTGTTTTTAAAAGCAGATTGAAGCCACGTGCTTTCCTTAAAGGTGTGGATAGCCTTTTTGTTCATCTTTTATTCAACACCTACTTGCCCTCACTCTACCTGCCAGCCATGATATATAAGAAGCAATTCTGAAATGTACTTGCTTTCATGTTTGTGAAGGCCTCCTCTGTATTAGGATGTCTTGCTCACTCTTGCTCTTGTTTCTTGATGCTGTGGTTGACAACGGTCCCTGGTTTTGCCTGCGCTTCCTGTTTGCTACAACTGATGCAGGTGAAGAGGCCGGGGGCTATGTCGTTTCAGCTCCTCTTCACCACCGCTTGATCAACCATGATGAAGACTGAACCCCCGTCTGCGGCCAGCGGCAGCACCAGCGGCAACCCGCTCGGAGCGCGGAGTGCCTCCCCACACAGGAACGCCTATGAAGCAGGAATTCAGGCGCTCAAGCCGGTCAAAGACCCTGGTGCCCCTAATGGGGATGATAAAGAGGGGAAGCTGCGGGCTCCTGGCCGGGGCCGCAGGTACGGCTCCAACGTCCACCGCATCAAGAACATGTTCATGCAGATGGGCTCTCCTGGGGAGGAAGAGGATCCATCCAAATTGAAAGACCAAACGGTGCGGCTCTCCCTGCCCAGAGCCAGCAGCCTGAATGAAAATGTGGATCATAGCACCCTGCTCAAACTCGGCGGCACTGTTTCCGAACGTGTTAGCCGGTTTGACAGCAAGAACGATGGAAGTGGTGCACGTGGAGCCTCCTCAGGCTTCTCCAAGCTGCAAGAGACACGTAAGATCTTTGAACAGCGCCATCTACAGGAGAAGCAGGCCGCCACCAATCGCATCCTGCTGAAAAAGGAGCGTGCCTCAGGCTTCCAGGACAGCCGTCTTGACGTAGTCGTGCGGTTCAACGGCAGCACGGAGGCCCTAGACAGACTGGACGGGGAGGGTGGTCCTGTTGAGGCAGTGTCACCCACTGTTAGCCAACTGAGCGCTGTCTTCGAGAAAGCAGAACTGCGCAACAATCTCCATCGGCCGACCTCGACCTCGCCGCTCTCATCTCGTGGTGTTAGCCCCACCCCAGGGAAAGTAGTCAATTCCAAGATCACCCCCAAAAAGGTGCGATCGTTTCCTCAAGCAGGAAGTCAGGAGAAGGGCGCCCTACCCAAGGATCAGGAGGATGTCCCTGGAAGTCCCAGAAGGATCAGTTCCAAAACGGACATATCCATCAAACCATCAATGGATGGATCCATCCCTGAGTCTGAGATGGTCCAGTCAAGTGAGATCCAGAACTCTGCAGATGCCAGTGCACTTGGGGAACATGATGGTGTCAGTACCCAGGAAGCGGGCAGTAGACTGGTTCAAGCGGAAGTCCATGTCCATGCTTCCCTGGAGAATGGGGATTCCAACAAGGCAGAGCAGAGAGACGAGCAGAGAGATGAGGACAGGCCAGCCTCAGTAGACGCCTGCCTTCGAGATGAGGAGGCGGCTGAAGAAGAGTCTCATAGGGAGGATTACTCCGAAGCAGACCTGGTGGACATCAGTGCCTATAGTGGTATAGGTGAGGACTCTGGCGGAAGTCAGCTGGATGAGGATGAGGAAGCTGATGATGATGAAGCGTATGAACCAGAATCCAGCTGCACTGAAATCCCAGGACTGTCACTTGAGGATGACCCTCCAGCCAGCAGAAAGATCCGTTTCAGCACCGGGCCAATAAAGGTGAGCACTTGAAATCAACCCACAGCCAGGGGGAAGACCAAATTACCCAAGCATCATTTAATGAAGTGCTTCATTTGATAGTTAATCATAGTATCGTATACTATATACATAGTAATGGTATAATAATCAAACTACCAATTTTGGCTGCTGGAATTTTGTTAATCATAAAAGGTAATTAACGCAGTCCACTTAACAATACCCTGTGTCTGCTGCATCAGAAACAAGCCTTTCTAGTGATGAAGTGCAGTACTCAGAAATTGTGTCCTCTTTTGAATCAGTGTACTCTGACCAATTCCAAGCAACCATGGGTGGGTGTTTATCAGTAGATGTGTTTATCAATTTTTTATATTTTTTTTAGTTTTTTTTATAGTTATTTTACATATTATACCTGTATCATAATGACATGGTTCTGCTGTCAGTGCCATCTGTGGTTGACAGTTTTTAAGTAGGGAAGTTTTATTCATGGTCAGTGGCTGTGTTCACTAGACATTATCAGTGATTAACACGATTGTTTAGTCAGTTTTCCACTTACATCAAATGTAGTTGATTGGGCTGAAAGATTAATCATTTTGATATCGAAATCACAATGTGAAAGTGTGCAATTTTCAAATCACAGAGGCTGCAGTTTTAATTATGGCCAGTGTTATGAACAACATTGTCTTAAATTTTAAGTGGGGTAATTTAATCCAATAACACAGTTTGTGAACTGCCTGTAGATGAGTTAGCCCAATCAGAAGCAATCAAACACCCATGTTCTGTGACATCACAACCATAACGAACTGGAAGTCTAGTACACTAGGTTCAGCTTTCAGTCATCAACCTAGAGAAAGTGGAAATTCTGGTCTTCTAGGCCAAAAAACAGGCCTGGACCTCAATATATAGAAAGTAATCATAATTTAAATCCCGGTCACAATATTGTTTCAAAAAATCACAATTAGATTAGTTTTGTTCGACCCTATATCAAATACATGTTTGGTGTATAAAGTTTGCTCCTTCAGTTTTGCTTTGATGCTAGCGTAATAGAAGTCTGTCTCACCCAAAATCTCTTTTCCATGGCTTGTTAGCTACATTAGCTTTGTAGCTCCGTAGCTCCAGTGCACAACTAAAGAAGAAAACTTCAGATAGTAATTTTGGCCAGTTGACTACATTTGGGATAAGGGGTAGATTGTGTAAATGTGATTTTTCATGGAACTGTTCCTTTAGGCTAATCTTTATGTAGAAAACAAGCCCTATGGCAGCCAGGCTGTTTGTGACTGACAGCATGTAGATTCTCCTTCAGCCTTGCTAAGCACTTTGTGCGTGTTACGTGCATACGTCTAGACCTCCTCAGCTGCTGACAGCTGCGTTCTGCAGGTTTGTGAGTGCCTTCACTGCAGCATGGAGTCTCTTCCTGTTAGCATGCTGGTCAGATGCTTGCGAAGCTACTTCGTATGAGAATCACATGGTTGCACCCTGTGCCTTTTGCAATGACAGTCACGCTGGCATTTGTACCCCGAAGAAGACTCTTGTGACATTGCTGTTTTTTTTCCTTCTACCAGTTGTTTGCCGCAGATTCACTGACACAGGATATGAAAGCACCAAACCTAACCCAATCAGATCTGTATTTCTATAAAAGGAATACTGTATTTTAGGGTCCAACTAATCAGCTGATCAACTGCTATTAAGCTTTTGTGGATTTTCAAAAACTCTGAAAATCCCATGATAAAGACAAATATCTACACTTGCTCTGTAATAAGCAAATATCTCTTATGTATTGAGAGTCACTCATTTCTCAAGACTGTAATGGTTTGATCTTATGCTATTCCTTACAGAAACTGCTAAGTTGGCACCAGTTGCACAACTATGTTATACCAGTGTAGACTGAAGTGGTAAACCTGAACATAAACAACATCACAACAAAGATGATGCATCCATATCTAACCTTTAGTGTGAGCATATTAATACAAACCTTTAGTGACACAATATTTTGTATAAGTCAGAGACCACCCTTTATTTAATTTCCAGTCAAAATGGCTATTATGTACAAGTTATTAATTTTTCTATGTCAGGAAAAAAAGTGAAAACAAAAATGGCACCTGATTTTTGCTCACTTTTCACTTATTTTCCTTTCCCCTTCATTATGCAGATGGATTATCTTATATCTAATCTCCTCAGAAATATCTGAAAAATATGAAATATGAAAAATGAATGGTGAACATAATGGCTATTATGACTGGAAAGTAAATAAATGAAGGGTATCTGACATTTGCACAATACTGTACATTTTCCTTTTTAGGGGATTCAGTCATACCAGTCAGCGAAACTTAAGGATGCACTGATACACAATGCTTTTTATCTACTTATCTGACAATACTGATGCCAAAACATAAATATTTATAAAATATAGAAATTGGAAGTCAATCTACAGAGATTAGGACTACAGAAAAATAAAACATTTATTTCTATAGGATTATACAGTAACTGCAGAAGTCCAGTGTTGTGTAAATGTTCTGTGATTCCTAAGCACAATAAATATGACATATCAATTTGAAACATCAGCCAAATGAAAACATCTGTCTGATGGTAAGCTAAATAATGTTTCTGAAGCAGTTATCAGCTGGTACCTACATGACTCCGATAATGTTGTCCATCCCTTGTAAAACTATTGGTGTCTGCTTAATATTTGTCCATATTAATTTGGCAGATATTATTTATTGGAAATTTAGCTTTTTAAGAACGTTATCAGTGAAATACTAATGTCAGTATCAAGTGTTCGCATCACTTTCTTTTTGTCTGTGTTGGAGAAGCTTTGATTTTGCCCTTGATGTCCAGGCTAGTGTTTCGTGGCTCTCTGGCCACAGATTCTGTTGAGCAGCCCAGCAGTGTCTGGCATTAGTGCAGTCACTTATGAAATATGTCGTGGCATGCCATGACTTTACTGTCACAATGCAGGGATCTCTTGTGATCCACTGTTGCAGTGTAATGGCTTGACCAGTGTAGAGGTTTGCCACAAGTACCTCCCTATTAGCTGGTCATTGGCACAGCTAATGGCCTAATTGTAGCTTTTTTGGTCTTAGGCCCATGATACATTGGCAGACACTGCAAGACATTATAGCCAGAATGGTTAGTACTGCCTGCAAAGGGCTAATAAGATGGGCTGAAGCTCATAAGAAAGGAGTATGAGAAATATTTCTTAGTAAGTAACACAGTTATCACAGAGTAAAGACTGTTGTGTTTGTTATACTGTATAATCTTTTGGGATCCAGTGGAAAAAGTTAAGATGTACAGCAGGGCACAGTATTACTATAATTTGATGTGTTTAGCGGAGCCTTGTATCCTTTGTGGATAGATGGATTTGGTATTTTATAGTAGGGATACAAAGCATGGACAAAATACCATATTACACTTGCATATTGCATATTGCTGCATATTGTGATTGTGTGGCATGATTGATGGCTGTACTGCATTATAGTAGCCAATAAAGCCAACAAAGATGTTTATGTTTGGATGACGTTTATGCCTTGATTCATTCAGACACCATTAGAAGCTCTTCTGGTACGTGTGAGAGTCAGATCGGAGAGGCCGAGGAAGTGAAAAAAGGACATGAGAATGTAGTCAGATTCTGTAGAAAGTGACATTGCACACAAGTCCTGTATTAACAGCAACAGAAAACTGGCCTCAAATCCACAAACTGCGCATCTTCATCTCCAGCACTGTTTTCCCTTCAGGCGAATGAAATGCCCTCAATCACTCGCCTTAGCTTCTGCTTCCTCTTCTAAGAGCTAAGAGTGGTGGCTGCTGCAGTTCTTAGAGCAATTACATCAGTTTTTCTGACTGTATTTCAAAACATGATATTGTATCATGCAGATCAAGTTTAAATCAAGTGGATAATGTGTGTAAGTAAACCTTATCCTGTTTTTAGGGACGTTCAACCCAATAAACTGCAGACCTGCCTTGCTGACTTTAACATATTGTGATGCAATACAATGCAATGCAAAAATGTAAAAATGCAATGCACATCATATAGACGGGTGAAAGCTGCATTGTGTTAATTATGGCATCTCATGCAGGTGTATTGTTTGAACACCACAGGTCATAATCAGCTTAACCCATATCAGCATGTTGAACATCATATGTCGCACTCCTTTCTCTGTGTGCAACAACATGCATATATAGTGCACACATGATTCGGGCTGGTGCGATTATTACATAATCGCTTGATTAAATAAATCGCGGATTTATTTGAACTGATTGCAGTTATTTGTTATTTCCACTGTTGTTAGCCTTCACAATCATATGTTGGCATCACAATAGGCATATTGTTAACTAAGTGTGTTTATCTGTTAGGTTGAGGCAAATACATGCAAATAAATGAGCAGTAAATGCATTTGTTGAGACTTCATGGGTCTTAGAAAAAACAACAAAATTTAAAAACGTCTGACTGGTGCTGTAACAGGCAGCAGTCAGTAATGTTTGTTTATTTGAGCTGTCAGTTGAGAGCTGCCACGTATCCACAGCACAGAAGTATGATCAGCCAGTTTGACCACTTTAGTCTTATAATTTTGTAGCATGGTAAAAAAAGCATTGAAATCGTTAGGCTGATTATTATGGGTGTATTTACTGGTAATAACAGATTGCAAACTCATTAAGAAGCACTGACATAAATAACATGCTTCCACATTTCTTCTAATTTAGACAGGCAGTCAGCAGTGTAAATTCTAGAACAAGCGTGTGTCTTAGCTCACTTATACTAGGAAAAAGTTTTTTTAGTAGTATTAATAGTATCAGGTGTGTCGGTAGTTTTGAAGTAATTCATTCAGTATCATACAGTTATTGAATTTTGATTTCGGGCCCGAATGATCATTCAAATTTTGAACTGAAACCTAGCATCATGCTTTGAATTAAATCAAATTAACAGCTCAAGTGTAGTTATTTTTCAGTAACTACTCTAAAATAGTAGCTTCTATAAGACTAATATTTCTGTTAGTTGTGAGAAGAATTGAAATGTTAACCTGCATATG